CGGGGTCCCCATCCAGGAAGACGGCAGTGACCAGCTCAGGTGATTCCGCTGCCAAGTCATTTCTTGGTCGCCTCTGGCTCTCTTCCACTTTTCACGTGGTTGTGTGAAAAGGCCCCTTCGAGGAAGTCGGTCGACTGGTATACGCAGTACGTGGCTAAGGCAGCGCAACCTGTGCAATGTGAGCAGTTCATCTATCGAGGGTGAGTTATTTCTCCCGAATACCATTCGACGTACTTCAGCATTGCTGACCCGGTGTTCCCACCAGATTCGGGCAATGCTCCGAAGACATCGATGGTCAAACACTGAAAGACTTTTGACGTCCTCGGCGCGCAACGGTCAGGTTTCTGATCCATATAGTAATATGGAGCGCACCGCAGCATTGTAAACTCGACCCTTGACAGAGAGGCTGATGTCACGCCTACGTCACAGGTGACGTAGGTTCGCAAAAGCTGCTCTGGCCTTCCCAATCCGGATGGAAATTTCATATTTCGCGAGACCACCGGGACTGATACAGCTGCCTGTCTACTTCAATCGGTTCATCCGCAAGCATGAGGCTAGGGTTCTAGCCCACCCAGTCTTGCAGTAACACTCCACACTTTGCAGGTGTGAAGCGCATGCCGAACCGCGAGGCAGAATTATTTAGATTGTTTAATATTGTTTGCACTACGGCGGGGTGAGATCCAAGAAGAGCTATGTCGTCTGCGTACCCGACGTCTGTGAGCGGAGGCCCAGGGGACGTGAAACCTGCTGTGTCAGCTGATAATTGGCGGCCACTGATGGACAATCGGCCTTTTCGTGGAAAAGTACATGACTCCCGTTTCAGTGATGATTCGCATTCTCTCAAGGCACCATTAGCCGAAAAATAGAGGCGAAACACAAATCTAATGTTCTCAAAACCATTGACCATCAATCACCTCACTTTCATTGGTAGTTGATGTGCTCACCGAGAATGAGAAATGGATTTTCGAATGTTTCTTCATTAATCGAGGAGACATCATTGGATTCACTCTCTAAGACGAATGAGTGAAAAGGGTCATTTAAAACGCTTCCAGACTAAAGCCCACTAAAACAAGATTCTGAAGGCATTAAACGAGTGTATTCAGAGGCACGCTTCAACCATTCCCACAGCGTGCAAATAAGCAGTTTATGCCGAATTCAAAACTGCTGTGGTCATCCTGCAGTATATCTGAAATAGACCTGCCTAGGTAAGAGCCGAAAGTGTTGACAGAGAAATCCGTCGGAGATGTCCGCATACCATATCAAAGCGATACAGCAGCGGTTGGTGGACAATGAGCCAAATGTCTGGAGGCTTGTTCGGTAGAACGGAGTATAGACCGCAAAGAAACCCCGTTCTTAGATCGAACCGAGCGACCCAACGGACAACGCCTCAAAACACGAACAACTCAGGTCCAAGTCTCCGAGAGCTTCTTAAAACCAGCCACCAACAACGTCGTCAGCGGATGTGCAAAGAAGACGATAAAAATGCACACACGGTCGTCCACCAATTCCTTCAGTTAAGCCCCATTCAGATAAATAAAAAAGTCACTCCTGTACTGATCTACCTGTCTGATTGATCGGCAAAACAAAGGCAATAAGAGGCTCTCCCTAAAGAGGAAACCTCAGCGATAAGGAATTTCTTCCTATACTATCCTGCCTCGAAGGTACCTCCACCTAAGGCTTGCCACGTTAGATTGGTAAGCCGTCACTGACACTAACACCACTGCAACTCAGTTGCTAAACACCGATCGAGTGTACATAAGAAATATGGGTTCAATGTAAAGAGACTGAAATAAGGAAGAAATCAACACAAGATATTAATCGAATTCCAACGAGACAGACCTGCCAGGAGTAGTTGTTTTTGGTCACCATCCGAGAGGTGTTGCTGCTGGTTGAGGAAGAAACACAGTCGAAGTATCTGTCCAAGTGAATTTCCTTAATCGGACAAATGTCACTTCGAAAACGTACTCAGCTAACCAGTAGACCTTGTCGAGAGTTTGTCTGAGACAGGGAGCTGGAAACCAGTGAGTAGGTGACAGTGTGAGTAGACTTTTAAGGGTCTGGCTGCGCCAAAACGCGTTGACCTTCTAACAGGCGAAAATCGTCGTGAATAATGTCAGTGGTTGGATTTGTTTACCGATCTATTTGGTGTTGCCAAGATCCTCAACTCGATCTCTCTTTGGAAAGAAATTTTCAACTGAATTTCCCGAATTAGTTGTAAAACTACTCAAGATATCCAACTATTCTTCCTGGCACAAAGAAGAGGTTAACGATTGTTTGAGAAACCTGCAGGGGATACATGGACTTTGAGCTGGAGTCGTCCTTCCCACCAAGTGAACCAACCAATGGACTCAACAAAACGACGTCCTGAAAGTCCAGCAAACCCCTCCTAAGAAGCCGAAGGGGCCAAATTCCATACATCCAAGTGAAGGTCCACCATTTCATTGATTGAAAGTTAAACGGAGCCGAGTTTTATTCTTCAGGCTGAGGAGGCTTTTAACATCTCTGCTATCTTGTTATCATATACAACCAAAAGCAAAACAATTATGTCATCAGTCCAGTCACTTTCGTTCTCAAGATTAATGCGCACAGATTGATCCACCATACCACTGACAGCACCATGTTCCCGTTTTTTTCTTCCAGATCCTTGCAGACATTCATGGACAGATGCAGTCGTTGCGACCACAAGGTGACATCGTTCAAAAACACTTCATATTGGGGGTCGTTTTGCTTAATGTTCCATCCTATGGCACAAATCTTGCGTTCACTGAGATCATTCGCTATGTCACAACGATGTGTTTTGCAGGGAATACTGTGATTGAAATTGTTGAACAAGAATGTATTGTCTGGATGAAACACACTACTCACAGGCCTGCTGAAAACTAGTCGGCATTCTGTTGAAGCGTACCATCAGAAACGAGAGATTTAGCTGGATTTTCAGTTACGAAATTCGTATGCAAATGAGTGTTTGTCGAAGAATAGATTTCCTTCATACACATATACTCTGCTGTTCTTGTCCTCAACTTTATTTCCGGTTAGCAGAAATACCACCTTTTCTTAATGAGTCAGTTAAAAGGGTCGCTGTAGCATTATGCGAGCAAATGTAGGGGCATTAGAATAGTTAATTTTGCTTATAAGTGCGCAAAGACGATTGGTGTACAGATCGACCAATGAACAAAGCGTAAACTTCAATTGAAATCTGTTCTCCAGCTTTCTGTCAGAGAACCGTAGGAGAGGAGGGGAGACATTCTAGTATCCCATCGAAGCTGTCCTTTTGGGGAAGTGTTGGATTCTTCGCCAAATAGAACTGCGCCCACCTGATGAATCTCAAAGACGAGACCGGTCGCGGGTCGTCAGAAATTTCAGCAACCTTATGAATAGTGCACTACATCCAGCCAGTGTTACAGTCTCATTTTTTAATAGTATGGGGTCGACGCTCGTTGATCTCATAGTTTAGTGCACCTGCCACACGTGGCCTCGTCCAAACCTCATTTGTTTATTTGGTTGACAGATTTTTACCAGATGGAGTTGTCCAGAACAAGGTGACTCTAACTACATCTGGTGTAGCTGCACGACCGAAAATCACCTACTCGAGTCACATATAATAGGGGATTTCGCTTCCAACGCAGTCCCACGGGTCAATCAAGAGTCGCATGAAGCAATGCACTAGTCATTGCAAACTGAAACAATGGCCCTAAACACAAAGCCGACGTTAACACAACCGTTATCAGTTCATTTTATGCGTATTAGATGCGAGATGGCTCAAGTGGTTAGAGCGCGAATCGACCGACCGGAAGATCTGTGGTTCGAACATGACCCCTGCTTCTCGACTTCCTCCGTCTGGGCTTGGGCAGTGTCCCAGCCCTCGTGCCTCCTTCGGGTGGCACGTCAGCTAGGCAACGAAAGGGTGTTGCAGCTGAACGATTTTTTCATTTATGAATTTGCCCGAAAAAAAACAGCACATCATACACAATCCGACGGCCACAATGAAGGGCATGCCATCAAGTTGTGCACGTCACGAAACACCAAACAAAAGCTCCAATCGGTCGTGTGATTCCAAGCCTGATACGAGGACTATGCAGTGGGATATTGTCAGGACGCGCCCAGACAGGAAAAAAAGCACATGTGCAGAGAGTGACGCATCCCCAAGGTCACCATCGGTACGACACGTCCGGAAAGTAGGTGAGTTGGTGGCTCGCACCAAACACGGCTTAGCAACATACGACCAGCGTAGTGGGCCTGAAAGTGTTCACGATCGGAACACCGCCACTGGCTGTACGGAGGGAACAAGTGGCCATTTAGTCATCCTATATATTTACGCAGAGGCTTTGTATGTTTTTGTCCCGACAATACAGCCGTGTCCCGAGTTCTCTGTCTTCTTGTCGTGTAGTCTGGCAGGCTCAGTGCAGGTGTAACCAATAGACAGCCACCGATGATACAACAGATATCTCAGTAAAATGAAGAGGTATGGTCGAAACATGCCCCTGGCATTCACAGCCCAGTCCATTCGTATCAATTTTCGTCGATGGGCTTCCTCTAACGAAGAGGATCACGGGACAAGCGGAAAACCATACGTGATTTCCCGTGCTGCGAATGAAGCACTTCTTCAGAGACATTGTCAGACAAGGCCCAGTCGCGCCCTCAATGGCGCTCGTGCATCCAAGCTATTGCCTCCAATGCATAGCTCCCTTGTCAATCCCCCCACCTAACAGTCCACTAACAGTGCTGGATTTATGCACCAATTTATCATCTCCCGCCTCCGGGCCCAGCTCCCTCCCCCCCCCCCCCAAATCATCGGTGAACGAAACTGTGGCAGCTACAACCACTGTACGACAACTACGCGGTTATTACAGCTGACGAGGATGATGATGATGATGATGGGCAATTGGTTGTTACTATTTGATTGCCCGCCCCCTTGATTGCTAAACAAACCAGTTAGAGAGAATTCTTCGCTCGCATTCCAGTCTTTTCCATCAAAGCAGTACAGTCCTTGGATAACTCGGCGCGGACAACGGACGAGGAAAGTGTCGATTGAACAAACACGACCAACCATAACCAGAGAGTCTGCTGACAGAGGCAACAAGCTTTATGAACACTCGATCGGAGAAAAACCAGCTACAAAAGTGGATAATATATTTGACGGGAAAGCAGCAGTCAACATGGAAAACTGCTCAACCGCTCAAAGTCAAGTTGGCCAATTCCGCACGGATTTGTTCTTCTCGGTCAATTTTCTCAATCTGATTGAAAGCGAGTTGTTTTCCGGCAGCTCGTTCAGTCTTAAGCTTTTCAATTTCATTCAGTTTCTAAATGTGGAAAGGAAGTGGGGAATGACGGTGACGGTAGGAAAATAATATAAGTAGTCAAATAACTCAGACTTTGTTAGCAAAAAGAAGGCTTGCTAATCGCCTAACTATCAGGAAGGTCAGCTTCCTAAAAGCAACCACTGAGTGCCCGAAATCTACCGAGACTCTCAATTTCGCTAGATGTTGACCAGACAGACAACGCTCCCGCGATATGCAGCACGTCGCAGCCTCGTACCAAAGCCAGACCGCGTGCGTCAGCATTGGACCAAGTTAGACAGTGTCCGTCCAAGAGCTAGCTTGAGACCACTGTACATTCGCACTCGCACGCACTCACGCTCTCGCACTCGAGCAAAGCTGTTGTATTCCCTTCCGTGAGTCTTTCTCCCGGCGCCGGACCGGGTCAGCAGCAGATACCACAGATTGACGAATCAGCAGCAGACATAACACTAGCCATGTTGCATCGATCCATTTACGTTGGACTACCGCTCAATACGATGTAGCAGAACAGACGGTAGGCATATCATCAGAGCAAACGCGAGAAATCGTCCAGTAAATGGCCTGAAATGAGTCGCGTCATGGTCCCAACTGGGATGATCGTGCGGGCTGGCCGTGGTACTGTCCAATAAGCTCCTAGAGTGCACATTTCAACCAAACTATTCGGCATGGTAAGTAGTGTAAGGGAGACCCATCCGCAAAGACAGGTTGCTGGCTTGAAGTCTATACAAGCGTCCAGCGTCACTCCCCACCTAGTGTGTGCTACCGGCGAAGGAATGCCCACCAGAAGAAGCGGAAAATCCACCTTCCCCTTCAACATTTTACAAGAAAGGCCTTATAGAGGCTCGAAGTGCGAATGGGCAAAGCCTAGAGATACACAGGACTCCTTACCTTTCGAAGCTGACTGGCTTGTTTGTTACCCATACCAGGAGGGTGTGGCTCGCCCGAAGGCTCCGATTTCTCCGCAGCAGGCTTCTTGCGCTTCTTCGGCTTTTTTGTGTCCAGCATATCTGAATGATGGGGAACAAACAGAAAAGAACTCCAGAATCTCACACGCTGTGACCAACGACATCAAAATTCTCTCACACACACATACACAATACTCACGGAGAATCAGACAGCAAGACCTTCGTAAGCAGTCATCCACGTGGTCACTTCACATGTCGGTCGACATCTGCCTACGACAAGTAGCTATATGGGAACAATATTTATGTAGGTGAACGATAATCGCCACAGGGAAGACTGATACGAATGCCACACGTACCGCCCTGGTTCCCCATATGTAACTCCGAGTCCGGTACAGATCAGACGATCCCAAGTATGGAAAAGAAGCGTTTGAATAAAGTCTACAGTGCCATTTGCTAATTTGTACAACAAATCTCAGTATACCACTGGCGAGATAAACACACCTGTGTTAACGATAGACCCAGATGGAACTCTCGTTTATGACATTTTTCAACTGAATGTGCTGCAAGGAGGCCGCTTCAAGTTCCAGCTGGTACGATGTCCAAGATATCGCAGTACGTCTTCTAGACGGAATAGATTACTCATAAGTTTCATGAAACTCTTCGACTATCCCCTACCGACTGCGTCCCTCTTGAAGCTCATCATATAGGCGTAGTCCTTGGGTTTCCAGTAAGCTTATGTTAAACACTGAATTGCACTTGATTAGCCCCAAGAACGATGAAATCGGTCATGGGATGCCGAAGAGTTTTCAGCAACCTTATATGAGCTCGGGATAGTTCAATGGTTTAGGCGTGAAGTTACAGACCGGAAAGTTCGTGGCTCGAACCCAATCGCAGCATCTCAACTACTCTTATGAGTATCTCAGCGTTCGTGCCTCCTGACACGGCAGCTAGGCACTAAAAGGGTGATACAGCTGGGCAGATGTTACTTCATTGTAATAAGTAGTGTGTTACGTCGGGGAAATATACTGCGATACCTCAATCATCCACTTATGGGAATAAACAGCAAACACACAAGCGTGATGGACGACTAGTACAGCATAGTGTCAACATCCGTGCCAGCACAAGAAAGTCCTGGTGTGACGGTGAGACTACTGATGGGGGCATGCGAGTAGTATGTTTTCTCGTGAATCTGCTTTGCGTCTCTTGAAAAGTGAGAACTATTACGGAACTTGTGGAGTCACATTTGCTTGGATTTGAGCAACAGTCAATAAATATCCAGGAAAGTTCAGGGAGATGCGTTCAGGAGAAGATGAATGTCCAGTTTTTGTAAATAAGATGCAAATGAGAGTTTTGCTTCCCTTTCCAATAGTCTGTAACTGTCTGGTTGGCATTTTCTAATAAATAACTCCGCAGCGAATGCCTTCTTCCTTTCAATGGTAGTGTGAGTTACGAGCCTTCCCATATTAAATCAATCCAATGGCTGTGGTTCCTTGTACAAACATACAGACACACATGTACGCAAACATGTTGCCGGGCCAACTTGATGACACCCATTGTCCTACTTGGGTTAGCAAAGCCCGACTGACAGAAAGTCGGAGATTGTGCCTACCTGATGAGCCCCAAGAAGGGCAAAACTGGTCGTGGGCTGCCGAAGGTTGCTGCAGTAAACTTGTGAGTAGTTTCTTTCCTTAATTGTTCTGCTCCCCCAAGTTGTGTTCGCAATATCACCAGGACTGGTGAACGGAGCGACTCAACTCGAGGGGGGGCTGTGAACCAGGAGTTTTAGTGTATTCGGCTATGGGGTTCAAAGCGCAAATATTGTATTTTCTTGTACAATATTCTGGTACAATGTTCTTGTACAATATTACAAGAACACAGTCAGGACACGCGTCCGCCTGTTTGGCGCACTCAACTACTGTCAGGACGAGCCCAGACAGAAAAAAAGCACGTGCAGAGAGTGACGCATCCCCAAGGTCAACATCGGTACCACACGTCCGGAAAGTAGGTGAGTTGGCGGCACCCACGAAACACGGCTCTCACCATACGGCTTAGCAACACAGGACCAGCGTAGTGGGCCTGAGAATGTTCACGACCGGAACACCACCATTGGCTGTACGGAACGAACAAGTGAACGACCCTATTTGGCCACTTAGTCATCCTGTATATTTACGCAGACGCTCTGTGTGTTTTGTCCCGACAATACAACCGTGTCCCGAGTTCTCTGTCTTCTCCCTATCGTGTAGTCTGGCAGGCTCAGTGCAGGCGTAACCAATAGACGGCCACCCACGATACAACAACTACCTACCAATTGTCAAACGGTGATAAAAAAAAGTCTACGCTTACTCGGGTCCATTCCTACAGGCAGGTTCGGACGCGCAGCTGGGGGTTGATATTGTCCTTTCACGCTGTCCAAAGTGTGTGCAGCGGCAACTGCTTGCTTGGCGACTTCAGACCGATTCCGAAGGGCTGGTGGGATATACTTTCCTCCCTTGGAGGTTGTTCCAGTGCCACTGGATACCTGCAACACCTGAAACACGTATTTTTTACGGTCAGAAAACCGATAGAAAGTTCAACGGTTTGGATCGCGAGGGAAACGTTAGATGAACTCACAGGGTCGAATTTCTTCGGCCGTGGGGCTGGAGGCAGGTGATCCTGAGGCATCACGAATACCTGGTAAAGTTCGTGATCTGTGGCAGCTGGCAGGTCCATTGTTGCTGGACGTGGTACTGCACGAGGTTCCACACGCTGGAAAAATAATTTCTTCCCGCTGTAGTGCCATATCCCAAAGCTAAAGGTACGGTCGAAGGGATGTGTAAAAGTGGTTTTGAGTATAAAAAAAGCAAGTCTCAAGACATTCACTTCCCCGAAATGAGATAAGCATTGTACTGGGTGAAGAATGAAAGTTGAACTTCAATAGAATTTCCAATTTACGCAAAAACATGCTGTGAAACATCGCAATGGCTTAGTCTAAAATGTACCTATCCTAGTGGATTCATCCCTGTTGAGTACGCACAATAGGTAACCGAGTAAAATTTAGCGATCCTCATGAGAATGCGGCACATCTGTCAGTTACCAAGAAGCGACTAGATTTTGTCGGTATTTGGTGAGCGTTTGCGCCCTGAAAAAGCTACTATACGAGGTATTATTGTCATAACATTTTTCAGTTTTCCTATGTCCAGGATAAGCTCGAGATGGTTAAGACGTGCCCTTACTGACCAGAAGGTCTGTGGTTCCAGTCCGACCTCTGCATCTCGACTGCTCCTATCTAGGCTTGGGCAGCCTTGCAGTAGCTCAGACTTCGTGCTTCCTTCGGGTGGCATGGCGGCCAAACACCGAAAGGGTGCTACAGCTGACCAATGATGATGAATGATGTCCAGGATGATGACGAAACGAGGCAAGACTCCGCAGAGGGGAGCCGGCATGGCAACCGGTGGACCGTAGAGAAGGATACTCGTAATTAGCCCCAATACATACTGCAAAAAAATCGTTCAGCTGTAGCACCCTTTCGGTGTTTGGCCGCCATGCCACCCGAAGGAAGCACGAGGGCTGGGATGCTGCCAGGTAAACCAAGCCTAGACAGGGGAAGTCGAGTGGCAGAGGTCGGGTTCGAACCACGGACCTTCCGGTCAATAAATTCGCGCTCTAACCACTTGGTCCATCTCGACCCAATACATACTTACCGTAAGATACACGGACTGACGACTACGAGAAAGCCAGCGGTTGAGGCGCAAGATACTGTTGGTTTGAATTGGTCTTTCTATTGGTGTTGTAAAATATTTGGGCACTTTTCCAGTCAACGATTTTGCGGAATAGAGGTAGCTCCAGTGCGCTGCTTGTTTGTTGTTCTGTTCGGTGAACTTGGCAGTTGGTTTTCAAGCGTTTTATCACCAATCGAGTTGACATCCGCAGTGACAATTTCACTTCGATTGAAGATGAAACATTTGCAACAAAACTGCCAAGCTGGGCGAACAGACAATCAACTATTGCGGCCCTTCTGCTTGCTCTAGATTTTTTTGTGATTGTGTACCGGTAGGATGCTAAAAGGCTTGATTATGACGAATTCCTAGGCGGAGTTTCATTCTACAAGTTGGGGTAACCTGAGCTGAAGAGCCAAGAAACAGTGCACACCCTCATTGGAAATCATAAGCAGTGTGTCTCACGAATCTCTTGAAAAAATTCGAACGCGCGACCTCCCGGGGCTGATGGTTGAAGACCATACCGTTCTGTCATGAGTGCTTGACTAGCAGTACGTTTAAACCGCATAAAGCAAGATATAGCGCCATGCGCGATTCACTCACATGATTTACATTGTGTGGTCACATGTTGATTGGACCATCAACTGACGATTCCCAAAATGGATGCCTTTCTTTCTGAGCGGGTTACTCATCGCATAATTTAACCATAAGTTAAATAAGATATCTCACAACTCACATTAGCCGTTACTAGAGAAGCCCGTCAACAAGGGACCTTCATCGTTCATCCCCAGAACACCCATGCTCCCCAACAAGGACAAAATAGTTGTACTGTCTTCCTCAGCTTTTCTACACAGAGACAGATTTCACTTGAAAACCGATTAAGGCTTCATCTTGATTTTAAATCGGCTCTAGCAATTAACAACGTGTGTGGACAAAACCAACGCTGAATCACTGGGATTCCTCTCCACAGTCCAGCTGAGAACCCAGGACTTGGATACCACCATTAGTAGTTATACATCATTCAGCTGTAGCACCCTTTCGGTGCCTAGCTGCGATGCCACACGAAGGTTGCACGAGGGCTGGGATACCGCCAGGTTGCCCAAACCTAGGATAGGGGAAGTCGGGAGGCAGAGGTCGTGTTCGAACCACAGATCTTCCGGTCAGTAAATTCACGCTCTAACCACTTGAGCCATCTCGCTCCCAGAGGCGATGCCAGGAAGAATTAAGCCAAAATCTTGTTCCTGGTGCGGCTCCCTTAATAATCAAACATTTGGAAAGACATCAGGATTTCCTTAGCGGCCCGACTGGAAGCATGGAACGGTTCGGACCTACTGATTGGAAAGACGTGGTTTCAAACGGCCCAGTATGTACTGATAGTAAACACATACCACAGGAGTGAAATGGCTTGAAATAGCTCGGTGGTTAAGTTGAGAACCACTGATCGTGGTTGGATTGAACCCTGGCTTTCTGACTGCGCCCATATAGGCTTGGACAATCTGCACCCTCCCCCCGCGCTCTTTCCGAGCTGTACGCCAGGATGCTGCCACAGGTAAAAGGAATGACAGACAAAGTTCCGCGGACTCACCCATTATTGACGCGGAGCCGCGGAGTTGTTGTAGCCATTAGGAGATGTTCACCATCATTCATCCAAGTCACACTGGTTATGTCAGTGGTCTTGAAGGTGGACAAACGCTCTTGACGAGCGAAGTCCCATACACACATGTCACCCGGGAGATTTCCGAGTCCAGCTAAAAGCAGCAGTGAACAGGTTCGAACCCGGGCCGAGTAGGGATCAATTAAGTTAAAGAAATATGCACAATTTTGTGGATCAAATGGCAGGGTAGAAAATAGAACGAATTTCGGACGAGAGTGAGGTGATTCAAGAAAATCTTATTATGTATGTATTTACGTCTGCGTACATATTTAGCGTCACTGGACACTTAATTCAGTAGTATGCAACTTTTACGCGTATATGAGGCTTGCAAGCAAGCAAACGTAAAGCGCTTGGCCTATGTGGAGTTGGCTGAAACTTGGTTTCGCCACTCGCGTACGGTTTGACTAACTTGTCTGAGTAACCATCAGTATTCTCATGGAAGGGGATGATGATACAGTGACCACACCGGAAAATGCTCGGTCACAGGAAGTTTCTTCACCAGTGGGGTTCGGGGGGGGGGGTGCGGAAGGACCGACCAGGCGGTCCTTGTCAGCAGTTGCACGCATCAACCAACCGGTTAACATAGCTAAGGATCCCTGAATGTAATAGAAGCTAAACGATTGGATAACAGAGTCGAATTTGTCAGGCCCTGACCATATGTTTACCTACAATTTGCGAACGAAAAAGCGGTGCAAAAAAACATCAAAATAAAGTGGAACGAAAGGATATGATTTCCATGTGGGTTGAAATGGATCTGATTCCAAGAGCCCGTACCGAAATTGAATCGTGGTTCGCAGTCCGTTCCAAACACGGTAACCGAGGCAGGCACAACTAAGGGGGGTATGGAAGGAAAGAGTTGGGATATGATCGGAACTATCTACGGAGGTTTGGGTGACATGGCAGGTGAAAGATGGAAAAAGCTATCGCCTGGGGCTACGTACATCCATGACACACAGCAAACAGTTGTTCGGTGGATCTTGCCTCATTCTGTGTCCCCGCACTCGAATCCGGTCTCCAGGCCACATCATAAATCGGACCTTTGCGTGGCATGGTGACCACAGCACTGTCGCTGGACCGCTTTGTGGTCAGGTAGAATAGACCTTGGTCCCCATAGTAACTCTCCTCGCTCGTCTGTAAAAGAACACCCAGAGAGAGGGAATCGAAACTGAGATCAAGTAAGATAATGGGAACTTGATATCATCGGGTACTAATAATATCGTTCATATCTCATGGAAGATACACTTCACCGGGTGATTCACACCAAATTTACTTTATACCCAACAGAACTGGTCTTGTTACGCATTCCAACTAGCGGATTCCCACGGATGAGGGGAACGTAACGCGGTACCGGGACATTTAGATTGCGAGGAAAACCACTATAATCCTAGATGAACTCGACGCAGCTTCAAGCATGTCTAGGTTTATTCTCCTTGTCAACTGCTTGGTCCTGCCCCAACGGTTAGCAACAAATACCGGAACAGTACATACGTCGAGGAATTCCAGATAACTCAGTGGTTAAGGTGCGAACTTGTAAACCGGATGGTCCGTGGTTTCAACCCGACTGATGCTGTCTGGGCTTGGGCAACCTGGCAGTATCTGAACTCTCATGCATGGAAACGAGAGAAATCCTTCAGTCGGAGGGTCGGATGCTCTGGAGGTTGTGTGATCTACATTCGAAATCATACTGGATGCATTTGAAGTCAGTGTGCTACGAGATAGTGGGCACTTTAGCAAAAATGAGACAATGATTGGCAATACATTGCTCCAAGCATGACCAAAAGTGCGGACCACGTCGAACGGTTAACCACAACCCTGTATAGGGCTCAAAAGCAACGTAATCTACAGTTGATGAGCTGGTCAACGAAGGACCGTTGAGAACGACAATGCCCATCAAACGTGTTCAGGAAGCACTATTAACACAGGATAAACTTGTTATCTCAGACGCTGTCACGACACTGCCGATCACCATGCTTACGAATCACGATTGATGAGTAAAGCTTGGTGGATGGTCATTTTAGCTTTGAAATTATACTAACCGTTCCGATGTGACACGCTTTTAGTGCCTGTCTGCCACGCCGCCTGAAGGAAACACAAGGACTGAGATACTGCCGGGGTTCCCAAACTTAGAGAGAAGTAGTGGAGATGCAGAGGTTGGGTTCGAACCAGGGACCATGGTTCAAGTGGTTAGAGCGTGAATTTACTGACCAGAAGGTCCGTGGTTCGAACCCGACCTCTGCCTCCCGACTTCCCCTGTCTAGGCTTGGGCAACCTGGCAGTATCCCAGCCCTCGTGCAACCTTCGGGTGGCATGGCAGTTAGGCACCGAAAGGGTGTTACAGCTGACCGACTTCTGATCAGTGAGCTCACGCCCTGACCCCTGAACTATCTCGAGCTTTGGGACAAAGCTGGTTAGATGTGAAAAGTAATCCTAAAACAGAACCGGACATTTTGTCTCTTTACCTTCAGGGCCAAATCAATCGAACCCCGGAATCGAATGTCACTAGCCTGAGAACACAAAGCAAACGAAATTCGGTCATGAAAATATGAATATCCAGACAGGAAAGTAGGAAAACGGACAGACGGTGGATCCTAACCAAGTGACCGGGCGAACAAAAATGATGTACATCAAAAATTCCTTCGATTCAGTTCACCTACAAACGACTTGAGAAGACACTGTCAAACGCCCCATATGTGAATGGTCCGAATATCTCATCTGTACGACGCAAGAGAGGCAACAACCTTACCTTGGTTGAGCTCAGTGTCAACAAATCCATCCCGCGATCGTTCCAACAGAGTTGGACCGTGTCGGCACGATAGAAAGACTTGCTGGTAATCAGTTGGAATTGTCCCGAGTGCCACTGAAAGACACGTACTGAAGATGGTTGTCCCTGAGTATGGGAAATGTGTGAGACCGAATGTATGAGTATGGGGATAGATCTTACTCAGTCGAAAAAAAACTCTACAAGTCGCAAGAAATCAGGTCAAACAAGATACAGGCGGAGTTCATTCGACCTCCAGATCTTTGATTACCGATATCTTCATATCCACTGGTTGGAACGTGTACCCACCGAAGTGGAGTAAAACTAAAGCTTATCAGCCTAGTGTGGTTGGGATAGCTATAATGAAAGTCAAACTACCGTCTTTCATTCAAAACCCATGTTGTCAGAAGGATCGAGCACGACACGGGTCCGCAAAATGAAAGTGGCCACAATCATAGTGGGTGTGTAAATCTCTGTGTGCATGATTAGAAGCCTCACGGGACATGAGACCTAACCGATTTCAGTGGCGTTCACGATCACTATCTAGACGGCTGATCAGTTGAAGCTCTTGTGTGTTTTTGCTGGGCGGAGTCTTCAAACGTCAATCGCGCTGACAGCATTCGATTACGATATGGTACTCGGATGCGTTCATATCATTCCTTTCCCAACGAGTAGGCATCCAGTTCCAGACCGCCTTCTCCAAGGATACAAACCTTTCTCGACTAAGTCCCCACTCTTTTTCTATATTTCAACTCTTTACTAGAGCAGGGAGCGAAATGGCTCAAGTGGTTAGAGCGCAAATTCACTGACCAGAAGGTACGCGGTTCGAACCCGACCTCTGCTTCTCGACTTCTCTTGCCTAGGCTTGGGCAACCTGGCAGTATACCAGCCCTCGTGCTTCCTTCGAGTGGCACGGCACTGGAAGGGTGCTACAGCTGAACGACTATCTTTATCACGCAGAGTAATTCTTCATATTTCCAAACGCATTTGTCCCATTTCGAGGGTCCACAAGTGAGATGAAACTGAGGTTTTGTGTACCCCATCATAATGCTCTGGAGTTCAATTCTCAAAAGCCTCGTGAAATTAGAACATCAATCTCTCCCTGACACGGGGATTTAACAAACGAATAGATGTTGCCATACTAGGGAGGTGGTCATAGTTTGAAGGTACGAGCAAACTCTACCACGCTTGCCTGAAGTGCACAGCGCGATGGCCGTACTAGGAATCAGGTCATTGAAAGGAGGTTCGCTTCGGTCCATCAGCACTTTTCAACCCTAGTTAACCGACCCCCAGATGAGCGGAGATTATACATTCACGTCTCTCTAGTTTGAAAAGCCCTCCCCCTCCTGTCCTTGCGAGCTCACTCGGGTGGGTCCACATCGAAGACGGCGAACTCGAGTTTCGTTCCGACCAGAACCCACCATCACTCGGGCACATGATACCCCACAACCCTTTCGTTTGGACCCACCGGAACGACTGAGCCAGGACAGGAAGAGGATTGGTCAAACGAGAGTGATGTGAAGGCGAATTGTACAAATCTGGAAACTATCTACAAGCAGATATTCATTTCACGCTACCCAACGAGAAGCGAGGTGAATTAGCAACAACAAAGACAGACTATCACACATCATTAAAAACCGGGATGCATATTTACGGGAATACTGATGATTCGACCGTCTTTTCAGTCCTGTACGATGTAATATCAAGCAATAAATCATCGCTTTTTGCTCCTTCGACTGCACACAGTCCCGTATTGCTCAGGTGAATGCAAAGTTCAGACCCTGGGAGATTGTTGAATTTATAGTCTGTAGTGACCAGCGGTTGCGGAGTAAAAGACTGTCTGGTGACTCCCCATGATCAGCATGATCAGGAGCGGGTGCTTTACAGAACAGTCATTCCGAACTTCTCCATCTTGATAAATACTCTCAGTTGCACAAGAAACTGGGTTTTGGCGAAGGAGTAGGGGTCACGTCCAAGTTCCCTGATAATTCGGGAGGCTGTTTGCCCTTTGACAAGCCACGTATGGAATAGGAGAAACCAGGCTGTGAAAAGTCCCAACGACAGGGTCGGTCGTTATGGCACCCTTCTATCCTCGGGTGATGAAAACCAGATGACTTCTCGAAGCGAAAAAATCACGCACTGGGGTCTAGACAACCAAAGGTTCTAATGGTGCAGTTTTGATGGGCAATCTGTGGTCTAGTCTCGGTGAAATAGAGAATCCTCTACTGACACTCAGATCGGAACGGGCAAATACGAGTCATATTTCTCCTTTCGAAGCCATTTCATTGGTATGCCCAGTTGATGATCAGTTATGGCCTTTGTAACTTGAAATCTGTGGTTGCTGAGCTCGAAACCTAACATCTGAGTTTTTTCTGACTAGAACTGAATAACGCGGCATGTCGCATGACGGCCATGAACACAAGCCTGCCAATGCCGAATGTCGACCAAAAACCGGTGCTGCTTGTACTGTGACCGACATGACAGCTGTCTGTCACGAAAATAAATTTAAAAAAATTCGTAGCACTGACAAGCTCAGGACTTACTTTTTGACAAGGAACATACACAGCGACGCTGGGTACGATGGAACTGGGGCTCAGTGAGAAATGACACATGCCTTTTACAGCCAGGCGACCGGTTGGCTTGCTGTCTGAAGGAGAACAACATACATGTACATCAACGTCACAAAAATGCGCACTGAACAGCACATTGTCCATTGGAAATACGACCATGAGTAAGGATATGAGAGAAACGCCGAACATCAAGAGTGGTCCACTGCATACCAAAGCATCGATGGATGGGCGCATAACCTAACCACTTGATGTACGGTAGTGCAACTCTGTATCGGTTCCTTGGCTTCCTGCTCCGCCCACAATGGTATATCAAAAGGCACGGGAGCTCTACACAGCCCTTATAAAGACAAAGGAAAATTAGTACAACTGTATTTACAGGGTAATCACGGGGTATTCCACAAGGTCGTGCTAGAATCTCCGTGATGAGGCGAGAAGCGTCGAGTCAAGGACGCTCGACTCGGTTGGCTGGCAATTCTGACCAATCAGGGCATGCCTTCATTTGGTCCGCGTCCTGCACGTGACACATCCGTCTAGATGCTCGGCGATTTCTACCGCCTCGGCGATTAGCCTGTGACGTGAACCGTAGTCCCCGCCTCAAAACTTCAACATTTTCTAAGTCTACTTTGTGTCCCATGTCCAGTGCGTGTTCCGCAGTCTTTCAGTAACGCTTGATAATCATCTGCGTTTCTCGGCGGTCTGTTTATTTTTCTACTATGCTCTCCGACTCTGATGTGTAGTTCCCTGGCCGTCTGTCCTATATAAGCCTTGACGCAGTCATTACACTTAATTTTGTAGACACAGTCCTTGGTTCTGTTTGCCGGGAGGCGATCCTTCAATTGCACCAGTGCAGAGCGCAGTGTTCCCCCTTTGGGAAGCTACTCTTATGTTAGCCGTGTTTAGAATTCTTCGAATGACCTCCGATGTGCCTAGTTTATATAACAGCGGTCCCGGGCCATTCCCTGTTGAGTTTCGCTACCGGTACCAACACCCTTCGCAATTGACGCTTAATCAAGCTAGCTGGATATCCACTACCCCGAAGCTTGTTCTTCACATCAATTTGGGCCGCTGTTCGAAATCACCAAGCATCCTAGCGTTAACAGAATGGAAGGCGTGGAACTGGCTAGCGTGTGGAGGACGGTCTTGGGTCACTCGAGCTGACACGTGTTGGTGTGCGGTCATCAGAAGGAAAAGTGGTCATCATCTAAAATACACTTGACCTCAACTCCCCTCAAACTAAATTGTCGGAGCACTCACAACCCCACAAAGACCAGGGAAAATCTAACAGCGGCACCCGAGATGAATCATCAAGTAAAGCATCCTGGAGTGGAAGATTAAGAAACAAAAAGCGATCGGAACTAATTTGGAACCCCTCCAACCCATCAATTCAAGATTTTGGCAACCACACCAGCAGACAAGAGCTGTTAATTGAGACTCAACACTGATCTAGTTTGAAGAGGCTTACTGATTGGGTCCCCGTCTGTCTTATAACCTAGCCAATTTGGTGACCTGCTCAATTGGCCTGATGAAGCTTTTGTGTCAAAAGCGAAACGCTGCCCAAATAAAAACTATCGATTATTTACCAAGCTCTTCTGAAACGAGAACTCAACCATATCATCCTCCGTCGCGAAGGGACTGGAACTCATCGTCGTGTGACGGTTTGCGCACCTCCGTAGCCCATTGAGTCGTACTGAGGGATTCCTGTACAGCATCCAGGTTGACCAATGAACAGAGGTCTGATAGTCCCCTGACCTTCCAGGCCGGGGGGTTGAAACAAGTGTAGCGGTTTGTTCCTTGAAATCTGCATCACTCAAATGGTTTCTACCAATCACTGCTGCCTTGCGGTTGGGCTCTGGTTGAAGACCCCAATCATTCTCCCATCTAGGTTAGGACAATCTGGAAGCATATCAGTCCACATACAGCCATGAACACAACAGATCCAGATGAAACACTCAAATTTCCTCCTATCGGCAGTTGTTGACACGTCTGTTTGTCCAGGGAAACACTCTAATTGTTTTGATGTGTCGATGAAGCGCTTTCCCATGTGAGAAGTTCCCTCTAAGAAGGAGTCAAAACACTTGTTCAACAATCTTTAGAGCACGCACTCCTGGCTTCTATTCTGATACCTTTTTTCAGCTGTGGATACGGTGAATCTGATCGCCACCTAGAACAGAGATGTAATGCCGAAGACGAAAAGATGAATGTGACTGAGTGGGCGCCACTGGTTTCGTGATGTCGCACCACAGTGGCAAGGATCTCTGGTTACCGATTGGGAAAGTACTTCGCTTTCCGAGCTGACTATGACCGCTATTTGGACCGTGGTCCCTCTCTGATAAGCCGTAAGCTGTCCGTGTGTGGATTTCTTTCACCTCAAACCTTCAAGGACAAATACGCTCTTCCTGGGTAGGCGGTTTTTGAGAATGCGCAACAAATAACCGAGCCAGCGTATATCAAATGGTCAGTCGATCATCACCAAACATCATACAACGTATTCGAGAAATACACTCATTTGCAAATCAATTTGGTTTTCATGAGAGGCTCAACTGAATCTCTCGTTTATGATATCCTCCAGCTGAATGTGCTGCACACAGGCCGCCTCATGATTCAGTTGGCACGATATTCGAGATGTCACAGTATATTTTCATAAAGAGAACTATTCACAACGTTGCTGAAAACTCTTCGACAGCCCACGACCGGTTTCGCTCTTCTGCTTTGGGCTCATCAGGTAGGCGCAGTCCCCGAGTTTCCGTCAGCCTTATGTTCTACTTGAACCCGAATTGGACTGTTTTCGAGAAATACACCGGCTGTGGGCTGTCGAAGAGTTTTCCCTTTATATAAACCATACAACGTAGTTCAGCAGTGGAAATGCAATGCCCCCATTTGTATTTTTTTTATATTTGTAATATTTGTAATGCTGCCTGCGAGCATATGTCTTCCATCCTCCACAGAAAGCAACCAAGTTTGACACTCATAAAACAGCACCAGTCGCGCTGCAACGTTGCACACCCTCCTCCCACGCAGAACGGCCAATATCACGTCGGCGCGACAAGTTGGAGAAAGGTCAAGCACGCAATCATCTCACCGGGAACACTGTCAGCAGAAAGAGATGGCTCAGTGGTTAGAGCGCGAATTTACTGACCGGAAAGTCCATGGTTTGAACCTGGATGTTCAAACATCCTGGATCACCCTGGACAAACAAACCGCCATGTTACATTCGCGTTTCCTGATCTCCCAGTCATTTCTTTTAGGGAGTAGTATGGACCAAACTTCCACGGACTTCCAGTTTCCTTCTTCCGTTTATTCCAAATCACTAGTTGATGAATTTCGCTGTCTCTTTGGAAAGGAACTTACCGAGGAGACCAGTTTAATCCCTACTAATACTTATATAGTAAGTACATAGAAGTACATAGAGGGATCCAAAGTAGTAAGGCCAAGCAGGGAAAATTTAACGGTATCATGTCATCATCCCCCATATAGACACGAGCTCGTTCCAGCTCGTTCAGCTGTGACACCCTTTCGTGGTCTAACTGCCAAGCCACCCGAAGGAAGCAAGAGGAGAGAGAGACATTACTGAGTTGTCCAAACCTAGACTGCCAGGGTTGGATTCGAACCACGGGCCTCCCGGTCAGTAAGTCTGTGCCTTAAACACTGAGCTACTTTGAGCTCCACTTGTATCACATCGTTTTGAGACTCAGTTTTCACTGGGACAAGTCGCACTAAGTAGAAACAATCACTAGTATGATAAAATACATTCCGTTTCAAAGTAAATCGGTGTTGACGGGTGTAACGGAATCCCAGCTGAAGAATATTATAAACGATAGACTCAGATGGGATCCATTTAGGTTATTCGTTAACATTAACTTAATTTTAATCAATTGTACCTCACGAACCGCGTACACTGTTGTATTCAAACAGAAACTTAGGAATTTCACCCACATAATGAACCTCAAGGACGATGAAGCCAGTGGTGGACTGGGTAGTAGTTGGGTTACAGTTACGAGTTTTGATGATGCGCAAAAGCAATTTCAAAGAAAAACTGCGTATGACTAATAGCAAAAACGTCGGGAGAGTTGCCTACCGAATTGTCCCTTGTTGTACAACTGAACATCACCGTCGATACGAACTGCACAATACGCCGAGTCATTGGTCCACTGAGGTTGCCTATGGGAACAAAAAACCGTTCAGAACCACCATGTTATACAGTCGCCACAAATTCAAAAGATCATACACTGCGGTGATATTCATTCACATGACAGAGCTACACTAGTACGTTATGCACTATGATAATACGAAAAATTCCTAGCAGGAATTGGCCCTCTGTTCTACTTGAAACCAAATTGCACGAAATTAGCGAACTACACTCATTTGCAAACTAATTTGGTTTTGCGACAGACTCGCCTTCGGGTAGCATGGCAGCTGGGCACCGGAAGAGTGTTACCGCTGAACGATTTTTATATGTTTTTCGAACGGGAGTGCTGGGTGAAACAAACGTAATCCTTCCTTGCTGGACTCTATTCGGAGACGCATGAGGCGTGAGCCATTAATTGATAATGACTGTCGGTCAGAAGACAAAATGGGGAGAAGAAAGTAGCAATACCCTTTGGCTGCTTCGAGACCGCTTGATGGTTAAGAAGTGCACTCACTGATCCGTGGTTCAAACCTAACCTCCGCATCATAACGGTCTCTGCCTAGGATTGGGCAACCTGCCAATATCCGTCCATCGTGCTTTCTTCGAATGGCGTTGGCAACTGAGCACCGGCAATCCATGTCTGACCATTTGAATCGTAGGCCCCCGGGGAAAGAAATGATAGGTGTTCCACGCAATTTTCAGACAATCGGTGATTTAAGACGTCACTCTATTACTGGGAGAATCCCTGAAGAATAGTATTCAGTGGCCATGTGAATCAACCATATTTAACAGTGAAGTTCAGGAGTATCAAATTCCAGATGTACTGTGCTTTCTTATATACCTAAATTACAATTTGGAGGGCTGTCGAAGAGTCTTCAGCAACCTTGTGAGTAGTTCCCTTTATGAAGAATTTATGTTCTTCGGATAGCCAAAGATGGTCACGAAACTGCTCGTAGTTGAATATATTTCGATGAAGACTATCTCACATTACGCAGGAAATGTCCCGTCATATTGTCCTGCGAAATGGTCCCTACATAAAGCACCCAATAGGGAACATCTAGCTTCAAGTTCCTTTCCTCTACGGTTGTTGTGTCTTCCTGAACGGCAGTGTAACTCTGTATAGGTCCCTTGGCTTCCTGCTCCGCCCACCATGATATATCAAAACGCACGGGAGCCCTACACACCCCTTTATGGAGACAAGGGGAGATTACTACAACTGTATTTATAGGGTAATCACAGGGTGCTCCACAAGTTCATGCTAGAATCTCCGTGATGGGGTGAGAAGCGTCGAGTTAAAGATGCTCGATGCAGATTGGCTGGCATTCTGACGAGTCAGGGCATGTCTCCGTTTGGTCCGTGTCCTGCACGTGACACATCCGTCCAAATGATGTGATGCTCGGTTATGAGGGACGGCTGGCCTCCGTACAAAGGTGTAACCATCTTTCTAATACGGCATAGTAACGCAATGCAAGAGGCTTATATAATGACAAGATACGCAAGGCTATCGATAAAACCAAAGTGGATTCGCACCACAGACCACAGTGATAGTAGTCATCATCATCATCATCGAAAGAAAGAAAGAAAGCGTTCAGCTGTAGCACCCTTCTGGTGCCTAGCTGACATGCCACCCGAAGGCTGCACGAGGGCTGGGATACTGCCAGATTGCCCAAACCTAGACAGGGGAGTAGAGAAGCAGAGGTCGGGTTCGAACCACGGACCTTNTAAATTCGCGCTCTAACCACTTGGGCCATCTCGCCCTCATCATCATCGACTGCATGACATCAGTGTTCAACACCGATGCTTCGCTGCCGTGCATGAGTATTGTTAGTCGTGAATGTCATGGCTGTACGAGGGCTGGGATACTGCCAAAGCGCCCACGCCTAGACGATTGGAGTCCTCAACCAAAGCCTATGGCTCAAAAGCCTAACCGCATGGCAGCGGTGTTTGGCGGGAAATGCAAATTCATTACTATTTCTACGGAGCAAGTCGCCACACGTCCCAATCCCAACCTGGAGGGCCAGGAGACTGTGTTCGTCGGACCTCTAACCATTGACCAACCTGGTATGAGAGACTCTGTGAGTGTCGCGGGACACTCTCCAGTATAGCTCAATGGATCGCTGAGATGGACGGTAAGGTCCAGTCTCTTCGTGACGGAAAGGACAGGAGTACTGAGCTCAGAATCAACTGAGCCCAGTTCCCTTTTTTGGACCAAATATTTGAACACATAGACCAGAACATCAAGAGGAAGTATGGTCTGCTCGGACGTAACACCACCCTCACCACTAAAGATATCATCAATGATAAGACCCGTGTTGAACCCAGGTGCTTCAGTGCCGTGAAAATGAACAGATACTACATCCCCAGCAAATAAAAGGAGTCAGTAAAGTGACTGTTGGTTTATAGGAGTTAATGGTTCTGGGAATTACTCACCATCCACCGGTAGAACGGTGAATATACTCCTTGAGCAAATCTCCAGTATCAACATCAAATACGCGAACATTTGGCGCACCATTGGGTTGTTCCGCGGAAGCTGAAAATGGTCAGAAAAGTTGAGTGAGACTTACTTTTATAAGGCTGATAAGTGAAAAGCACACTCCCACCCGGCGAAAGCACAACTTTTGAAACATCCTTGACTGGAATTTCAGAGCAAGGGTCGAGTTCGGTATTCAATACAGTCACTCTGAAACGGGAAGCTGTGGAGGACTAAGAACAAACTTTTCTCCATCTGAGAGTGCCACCCGTTTTGCGTTTTTCGCCAATGAGAAGTTTTTCAGCGAATTCGATAACAGGCTTGAGTTACGATGTTATCCATGGGCTGTTACAAACCAACCTTTGGACCAAACTTGATTCTTCCTTTCCTTCAAATTTGAAAACTCGTAAACCATCGCTCCCTAAACCTAAAATAGATACGTAATCAGGAAACGGGAGAGAATTACATGCAAACATCTCAGGGACCTGAGGTGCTATGGTGAATCGACTCGCGGTATATCAGTGCTCTACCTGAGTGGGAATCTGAAGAACAGATTAGAGTCAGAAGACAGCTAACCTTTGATCGCATCAGACAGGGAGCATAAACCTTCAGGAGAGGGGACCAGATGATCTGTAAACGAAAAGTAAACACTAACAAAGGAACGACGATCATATCAGTGCCAAGCACTGTGGAGAGACAGATTAAAATTTGCCGATGATTATTACTGAAAAAGGTAGTCCGAATGAAGTTGAGGTACTCCCTGATGTGACTTACAAGACTTCGATTTAGATAGCAAATTCGTGTTTTGAGCCTGTCCGAGACGATTTCATACTCAGCATATCAGTAAGGCTCACATCGGCCGTGATCGCACTCTTCAAAAAGGATTCAATGTCATGCGAAAACCATCCAAGAATCAATTTGGAAGCTGCGACATCCAAGGTGCTTTGTGGCATTATTTTGCGCAGGCCGACTGACTATCGGGGAGAAACTCGTGAGAATCAAGACCCTGTCGATGATGTAGCGACTATAACGTTACCTTGAGATAAGTTATCAGACAGGTCGCGCTTCCAAACGTCCCATATTGATCGATTCGATCAGTATCAGGGAAAGCAACATCATTGTTGGCACTGATGCCTCAGCAGCAAAGTACAACCACAACATTTTTGTGAGTACACCAAAGCCCTAAGGTGAAAAGAGGACAAGGATCCGGTGCTGGCTTGTCACAAGCATCTTGGGGTTCCTACACCTCCAGGCGCTCAGCCAAACGACCCGAAAAGAAATTGACGGCACGAGTGCCACTGACGCCGACCAGCCGACATTTCTTGCAGTGCCTCTAGTCAAGCGCAGGAGCATCATGATAATCCCATCGTGAAAGATGGACTAACAACACCAAAAGTCTTCGTAATCTCTTTTATACCCTTCTGCCAAGTTATACGTTGTCTATCACCATTCCACGAAAGGCACGATGAACAAAGTTCGTCTGGGTAGTCGATGTTTCGGCACCTGTAGCACATGACTAAGAAACCGCGCCGGATGGTGCTGGAAGTTTTCTGCAGCTGAATTACCCGCCACAAACCTAATACGCGTTCTCCAATTACCTCGTTACAAATCTGTTCACACCATACAACACTTCAGTACGTAGATGCTCAGTTCCCCAGTCCCTGAGAGCAATATACAATGCCAACTAAATGACTACGTCATCGCCTTTAATGCTTGGCTAGATCTGCCTCTCGCATTTTTCCAGTGACCGAGACTGTAGCAGCTTGGACCAACGTACCCCTGGCACATGATTTATAGCTGGTAAACTGGAGACTGAAATGAGGTGAAGATCACTATACAACAGGCTTTGTGGTAATATATAATAACAAATAACCGTTCAGCTCTAGTACCCTTTCAGTGCCTAGCTACCATGCCACCCCAATGAAGCACGAGGGCTGGGGTACTGCAAAGTTGCCCAAGCCTGAACAAAGGAAGTCGAGAGGCAGAGGTCGGGTTCGAACCACGAACATTTCAGTCAACCAACTCAGCGCTCTAACCGTTGAGCATCTTGAGTGAGGGTCAATGTGTGTCTTGAGCAATGCTACGATACTTGTTGCGTTGGCGTACTGAAACACTCCTTCGACTTTCTATTGAAATTTCGAAAAAATCCGTCATTGGTAAACAAACGCTATAAAACAAGTTAGCTACCAGTGGATGTTATTTAGCACCCGGCAGGTCCTATCAGAAAGACCATCACTTGTGTTAATGACCCATAAGTCATTAACAAGCCGCAAGCGTGTTTAGGGCCAGAAAGGTTACGATATGCGACAGTTGTTGACCAACGTCCTATGATTTACGGGCAGGGTAGGCCCAAAATTAGTGAAGCACATCGTACTTGATGACTCATCCGTCGGTTTCTTGCATCATTGTCGTCACCGATAGTTGGCTGAAATCCCGTGCTTCGCTGCCTCAAGCTGAGTTTTCAAAAAGGATGTTAGTCATATGGAAGTGGATATGCTCGCCAAGTCGGGATATTGGCTTACAAATCAGAAGATATCGTGCGCGATTAGGTCGAGTTGACCCAGAGATTAAAGGCCCGTCAGGATCACCAAACGGTGAACTGCGTCAGTACTAATGCGTTGTTCTCACTAGACCAATGATTGATAGCCATCGTTCATCTAAAACAGTTAGTAGCCCCAGGTTTCCACCAATCAACCAATCAATATATCTGCTATAAACCGTGCACCATAGGCATATTGGTTCCAGCTGCTACAGTCTCGGTCACCGGAAAATGGAAAAGTGGAACACACAACCAAGCCTTGGGGGCGAAGGCATGTTCCGTTTGTCCAGAAATTAAGTAGCACTGAAGATGATAGGTTTGATGCGCGAGCGCCACTGACCGTGATTGAGCCACTTCCGCCAATGTCATTAACCACTGGTGATTTGAATCCCGCGGCCCCCACCCAGGGAGGCGGCAGTTGCCCACCCGACTAAATTTACTGATTGGTATTTTCGCACTTCGTTGCCAGGTCATCCACTGTCCACTACTCGGTCGTTTCCACTCAGCATAGCGCTGGGGGAAACGACCTCTGTGAGGCAGACGGTCTTCTGTCATGCGGATTACATGTCCCAACCAGCGCAACCTATGAAGCGTGAGTGATTCATCTATTGCGGGAGAGTTCCTTCTTCTTAAGGACATCTAACGTACCTCAGAATTACTAATCCGATATTCCCACCAGACCTGACCAATGATGCGGAGACACCAATGATCAAACCCTGACATCTTCCGTATGTCCTTTGGGCGTAGGGAACACGTCTCTGATTCATAAAGCAGTACGGATTGCACCACCGCAGTGTAAACTCTTTCCTCGACAGACAAGCTCACATCCCGTCGGCGCCATGGGTGTCGGAGGTTGGAAAAAGCTACCTTGGTCCTTCCGATTCGAAAAATAATCTTATCTCCAGCCAGTCCATCGGAACTTATACAGCTGCCCAGGTAAATAAATTTATATACCATGGCGATTGGCTCACCAGCAAGCATGCGGTGTGGGTTTCATCCCGCCCAGTCTTGCAGCAGCACTTTACGCTTGGCACATGTGAAGCGCATGCCAAACCGTGTGGTAGAGTTATTAAGGTTATTAAAAACTGTTTGTATTTGGGAAGGATCTCAACCAAAGAGAGTAATGTCTCCTGGATACTGGATTTCTGCGAGGGAACGTCCCAGGAGCATTTCGACTCCTGAGGTTTCAAAGACAAGCGGAGAAATTTCAAGCAGCATATCAATAATAAAGTTGAAGAGGAAAGGGGAAAGAGGACAGCCTTGTCTTACACAACTGGACTTGAACTCAGGCGAGAGCTTCCCGTACGTACAGGAGGAGTTCGCAAACAGTGTCCTCATAGGGGAAAGAACTTTGGAAGGGACACATCTGATCGCCAGACACTGTCAAAATTGTTGACGATCGACAGAATCGAAAGCAGCTTTCAACTCAAACCGACCACCGTGGGACGTCTGAAGGAATGGTGCTGTTCAAGAAAGGTAAAATATGGTCGACGCATCCTCGAACATGGAGAAACCCTGCTTGATTCTCACAAATCTGTCTCTCCGATAATCCATTTACCTGCATGAAATAATGCCAGAAAGCACGTTAGATGCACTTTAGATGACGGATAACAGCCTGATACCACGATGGTTCTCACATGATGTCCTTGCTTCCTCTTTGAAAACTGGGATGACGGTTGAGGAGCTCCATTCAGTTTTCGTTCCAAATCTTCTGTAGTATAGTTGCCAGACTGTTCCCCAGGGCTTCGCCAACTTCTTCGAAGAGCGCGGGGTGCAGACCATCCGGACCGGGTGCCTTGTTGCACTTGAAATTGAAATCTCACGCTGGGGTTCAGTTGTTGATGGTGGATTGGTATCAATATCCCATTCGTTTAGATGTAACACCCTTCCGATGCCCAGCTGCCATTCCATCCGAACGAAGCACGAGGGCTGAGATACTGCCAGGTTGTTCAAGCCTAGAAAGGGGAAGTCGAGAAGCAGAGGCCGGGTTCGAACCAGGAACCTTCCAGTCGGTATATTAGCGCTCTAAACACGAAACATCTCACCCCTCCGTCATGTTCCATCCGGGCCAGCTTGGTTCTTCCAGTGGTTGTGTTGAAGGAGACCAGGTGAACTGTTCTTTAAAGTGCTCAGCCCACCGCTCAAGACGGCGATTGAGGGAGCGAATTGCTTTTCCGCCCTTTTCGCACATTGTCTCACTGACATCTGCTTTCCTTTGACCGTTGATCGGATCAATTGAAACAGGGCGCGGCTGTTGCCTGCGGCAGAAGCTTTCCCCATCTCCTGGGCCTTCGAAATCCACCAGCGTTAGTTAGTTGAGCTACCCCACCTTGGGCCTTTGACTGAAAAGTCTGATCAGAGGTAGTGGGGGGATGTGGAGTTTTGTTCGGGGACCATGCCTCTAGCCTCTGACTCAAAAGTCTGGACCGCTAGACAGCTGTTGTTAGGGTTTTCAGGGGACCCTTCCGGGAGCCAATCACTCAATAGTCTGACCCACTTGGCTGTAGGGGGCCGGCCTGGCACAAGGGCACAGGAATAAGGGCATTACTATCTCACTCCGGATGCGGCTGCTTTTTGAGCAGCATCCGGCTATTTTGGTTTGAAAAGTATTTCGACCGTATTGAATAATACGCCGGCTGCCACGGTCAACCGTTGGGCGATCGGAGTATGCGGATTCGGTGGCACTTTTCCTAACCCATCGTTATTCTGGAGAAGGCAGCATCGCCGCTTCCAGGCTGGTCGCCTGGGGGAATACCTTACTGCCTTCACAGCCATATTGCAGAGGACAGTATGACTGTACCTACAGACCGCCTCGTAATACGACTACTCGCAGTACGGAGACTAGCTGTTCTTCGTCGGGCTGCTCCTCGTTGGTTATCCTGGCATGATTTAGGAACTGAGTTCAAGCCAGTATAGCCCGCAGTATCATTGCAGCACAGAAGCCCGACCACCACGGCAAGGTGACAACTTTAGGTTGGGAAGGCTTCCATTCAGGATAATAACAGTGTATATGGAAGAGGTGGGACATAACCCGATCACATTGCCTCCAAAATGACAAAGGCTGGTGAAAGATGCATCGTCCTTAACGATT